TGGATTCCCTGAAGCTAGTACCTGATTTTTCGGGCGTATGTTTGAGCAGGATCTCGGTGGATCGCTCGGAAGAGATGCTGCTACTGGAAGATGAGTGCTCTTTGCTACCGAAGCTCTGCTCAATGAGCATGGAAAGACCATAGCTGGGCAGAGATTTGTCATCCAGGTAAATGCCAAATCCGATGAACCTTTCTTTAACATGGTTTCTTGCAATGGAAGGCAACTTAAAAACGAATTTCGTCATTAGGGTTTCGGAAACGTGGGTTCATGGGCAGCGAGGCTGATTAGTGAAGAGGGTGGAAGGATTGTTGCAGTGAGCGATGTTACAGGAGCGATCAAGAACGAGAATGGAATCGACATCAGGCGTCTGTTCGAGCATTCGAAAGAGAAGAAAGGTGTCAAGGGCTTCGATGGTGCAGATCCGATCGATCCCAAATCGATCTTGGTTGAAGATTGTGATATTCTAATCCCTGCGGCACTGGGAGGTGTCATCAACAGGTTCAGTTTCTTGCAACACAAGTTATCTTTCTCCATTTTGTGCTGGCAATTCCTCTGAAACTGGTTTTTTTGAGGCGGAAGGGAAAACGCGAACGATATCAAGGCGAAGTTCATAATCGAAGCTGCTAACCATCCAACTGATCCTGAGGCCGACGAGGTTGGATTCTTGATTCTTTTTCGTTTCTTTCATCCCTCTTCTCAGTGTCGTGAGAAATGTCTGGTTGCAAAGGTGAGGTCTTTTTTTTCTTTCTAAGCAGATATTGAGGAAGAAAGGTGTTGCTATTCTCCCAGACATATATGCAAACTCAGGAGGAGTTACCGTTAGCTACTTTGAGTGGGTTCAGGTAATGACAGCTCGAAATCAAGGAAACCAAACCCGAGATCAGATAGTTGCTCTTATGAACTGGTTATTAACCTGAAACAAAAAACAAAAGATGATAACTAAACGGATAAGCTATAGGGTCATAGTCATAAGCCATGGTTATTTGCAGAACATACAAGGGTTCATGTGGGAGGAGGAAAAGGTGAACGAGGAGCTAAGGAGATACATGACTCGAGGGTTCAAGGACTTGAAAGAGATGTGCAGAACTCATAGCTGTGATCTCCGAATGGGCGCTTTCACGCTTGGTGTTAACCGTGTGGCTCGAGCTACCACTCTCAGAGGATGGGAAGCTTGAGGTTTCTCAGTGGAAACCCTTCTGAATAAGAAGAGAGCTAATATTTGCCTCTTTTTTTTTTTCCTTTTCACTACTTGTCTGGCTTTGACATGCTTTTGCACTGGATGAAACCCAGAAGAGAATGATGTGTGTGTTTTAAGTCCAGTTGATGCTTCTGTGTTGCAGATATCTCCTTTTCAGACGATTGAATCATGAACTTGATAAAAGGAAAGAAGCTTTAGGTTAACGTTTTCTCACGATAGAATAAGAAACACGATGGGATACTTTCATGTAGTAAAGACAAAATAAGTTTCCGTCGTAAAATCATAAATGCGATCCTGATGCTTTCCTTTCCAAGAATCAGAGGTTCCATTTTCTTGGCTTTGTTGCAGAAACTGTTGCATACTTATTTCGTTTGTGATTTTCTTCAGGTTCAGGCATACAACCACACCCACACAGATATACCTTCGAATCTTTACACTGTAATGCTGATATATATCAGATTTATTGCTTAGATTTAACCGATTTTTTTTATTTTTTTTGTTTCAGTTCTTCAGAATCTTACATTTCATGCACTTATGGATCCTTTCCTCTGCGTCCTGCCCTTACGAAATCGACGTGGGGAATCACTGAAACACCCAACTACATACATTACAACAACTGTAATAACAAGACCAGATGGAAATCCAATCGCTGCAGCTTTCCATGAAAAAACTGGCTCTTCTTCTTCTTCTTCTTCCTCCTCTGGCTGCTGAGCCGGTTGAGAATAGTCTCGGCATGGCACTTGAATCTGAATTCCGCAGAGTCCACTATTGTTCGCGTAGATGTTCGGATCGTTCAACGTGTCGAGCTGAGGACTCTCGGGAATTCTACCCGAAAGCCTGTTGTTGCTCAAGTCCAAGGTGTTCAGCTCCTGAAGCTTGGAGAATGACTCTGGTATTCCTCCTGAGAGATTGTTGTGAGACAGATCTAAGATCTCTAAGCTCTCGAGATCTCCAAAACTTGGTGGGATCGATCCCGAGACGTCGTTGTGTGACAGGTTAAGTAGCTTTAAGCTCTTCAGACCGCCTAAGGAAGGTGGGATCTGTCCGGATAATCGGTTGCTGGATAGGTCTAAGAAAGAGTAGAGCTCAAGTTTTCTGCTGGAGAGCCCTTGTTTCGATTTCTTCCAGTTCACCACCAGATCGTGGATTTCTATGATGAAGCTGAACACTTCGGTTAGCGTTGAAGGGCTTGTGGGTGTGTCTGTCATGCCTGCGAGTTTTCCAAGAACTGGAGGGATCGGTCCATCAAGACTGTTCTCAGAAAGATCCAAGATCCTTAGCCTGG